GCCCATGTTCCGCGACGCCACCGGGAGCACCGCCTTCTGATTCGTGCCTCGTATTCTAGGAGCAGTTCTTTTCATGGCTTTTGTACGACTCTGCATGTGGTGGCATCGGGCTGTATAAATTATGCATGTATGACTTCACGCTCGCGGGCTAGTCTGGAGGCTCCCAGATCCTAGCTGGATCTGCGTGCTTTTGTGGGGCTGCGCAGGGACAGGGGGAGGGGGGTCTCTAGGTTTCGGTGAACAGTAATGGGTGTCATGGGAATAAATATGGGGGTGGGGGCTCTGGGGGAGAAGTAGGAATCTTAGAAGGGCTAGAAGGCTGATCCGAGCTCAGACACGGGTATTTTCGCCTTTCCTCCCTCTCCTGGGTCCTCCCCCCTGCCCTCCCCTGCAGCCACGCCCTCACTGTTGCGGGCACCCACCTGGGGACGGGGAAGCTGGCAGACACTGACCTCCCTTCATAGAGCATGCATTTGACACGGCGCTTGGCAGTTTTGTTAAGGAAGCTTTAAATTTAAGTTTCTGTGGGCTATAGGAGAAAAAGCGTAAGAGTATAACAGATGTCGCGGTGGCCGATGATGAATCCCCCAGCGCACATTAATTCCACGCTGACATTCTGTCCAGGGACGGAATAGGGACTGAAAATCCAATGTGGGAAGGAGGCATTAAGAAATGTGTATAATGATAGGAATCTAGGGACACCTGGGTGCCTGAGTTGGTTGAGTCCAACTCTGGATCTAGGCTCAGGTCATCATTTCATGGTTGGTGAGATCGGCTTTCTCATTGGGCTCCTTGCTGACAGTGCGGAGCTCGCTTTCAATTCTCTCTCTCTCTCTCTCTTTCTTTCTCTCAAGATAAATAAACTTAAAAAAAAAAACTAAATAATATGAAGATGTTGGCTTACCACAACTTTGACACCTTGGACATCTATTAAAAATCCCAAAATGTGGGGGCTCCTGGCTGACTCCATCAGTTGGGCGTCTGACTTTGGCTCGGGTCATGATCGTACGGTTCGTGAGTTCAAGCCCTGCGTCGGGCTCTGGGCTGAAAACTCAGAGCCTGGAGCATGCTTCGGATTCTGTGTCTCCTGCTCACGCTCTGTCTCTTTCTGTATCTCAAAAATAAATAAATGTTAAAAAAAATTTTTTTAAGCCCCAAAGGTGTGTAATACATAAATGTTAGCTAACTGTGGCGACTCCCTAGGCCTGATGGGGTGGCCCTCCTGATTGGCATACCACGATGGGAGGCCACAAATTATTCAAGATGAATGATTCTTCTAGCAAATGAGTGTCTGTGGTATGTGCTGGAGTGTTTTCACTAGGCAACATTAGCGTGTTGTGCACAAAGAAAATGGGCAAGCAGGAGGAATGGCTGCCCACCACGGTGACCTGGGTATTCCAACTTACAGGACGCAGAGGGTTCGCGTCCTGGAGGTCAAGGCCACTCTTGTTTACCTCCAAACGGTTACCGTGAATAACCTGTAATACGCAAGAGTTACTACAATGCTAGCTATGCTGTCCTGTGGCAAAGAGAAAGGTAGACTGTGGATTCATACATTTCACATTCATCCATGACCAAAAAACAAATTAGTATTGACAATTAAGTAAATGACAGATATGGATTGGAGAAAAGACAGGACCACTTTACCAGTAGAAAACAGCATTTTAAAGAACCCATACTAGAGATGCCTAGTGGTGTCCCTTAGTCATGAGAGTGGCTCAGTCGGTTAAGTGTCTTATTTTTTATTTCAGCCCAGGTCATGCTCTAACAGTTCATGAGTTTGAGCCCCACACCAGGCTCTGCACTGACAATGCAGAGCCTGCTTAGGATTCTCTCCATCTCTCTCTGGCTCACCCCCATGCATGCTCTCTCTCTCTCTCTCCCTCTCTCTCAAAATAAATAAATAAACTTAAAGGAAGGAAGGTAGGAAGGAAGGAAGGAAGGAAGGAAGGAAGGAAGGAAGGAAGAAGGAGGGAATGAATGAAAGAAGGGAGGAAGGAAGGGAGGAGGGAAGGAAGAAAGGGAGGGGGGAGGGAGGAAGGAAGGGAGGGAGGGAGGAGGGATGGAGGGAAGGAGGAAGGAAGGAAGGAAGAAAGGAAGGAAGGAAGGGAGGAAGGGAGGAAGGAAGGAAGGGAGGGAGGAAGGAAGGAAGGAAGAAGGAAGGAAGGAAGGAAAGAATAAGGAAGGAAGGAAAGAGGGGGAGGAAAGAAAGGGGGGAGGGAGGGAGGGAGGGAGGAAGGAATGAAGGAGGAAGGAAGGAAGGAAGGAAGGAAGGAAGGAAGGAAGGAAGGAAGATATACCATGCTGCCACCACTGGGTCTGCATCAGGAGTTACACTAGCAAATGAAGGAAAGGTGGGGTTCTGCTCACGTGCGGATCACCATGATTCAGGAACATGTTAGAACACCCTTTCTTTCATGCTGTGTATAAGCTGGGAAAACACAAGCTGAAGGAAGATTTATTTGGGTTTGTACCCGATTGGGAGACCAGTCTCTCAATATGATGGCGACTGGATCAGTGGCCACACTCTGACCAGGCTACTTGAGTAGCTACTCGTCTATCATTGGCTTTGCTGTGTTCAAGATGTTTACCAGTAAAATTGACCATGCCATGTTGTAGGTTTATTTCTGGGGCCAGGTGGGGGGCAGGGGTAACCCATAAAGGGTCCTGATGCCTTTACAGCTTATCATTGTCACATGAGAAAACTCATACCCAGCCCCCCACCAAAATGTTTGTATTTATTTGTTTTCCCAACTGCCAGGAGTTTGGTGTCAGTTCTGAGGCTGAACTGTGGTGATTGCTCACCTCACTGGGAGCCTCCACTCCCTCTCCTCCTCTTGTGTGAACCCTGTTCTGTTGACTCCTCACAAAGTATCTAACTGGCACTCCTGAATTCTTTGACACAATGGTATATCAACCATTAGTATTTTTCAGCTTGTAGTATAGCATGGTTCCACCTCCACGAAGAAGGAGACCCTTGCAGGAAGCCATTCTGCCCATTAAAGAGCCACAGGTCCTCCTGAGACCGTCAGGACAGCCCAGGATGAGCCCACATGGGTGAGCCAAACCTGGATCACCAACGGCAGCCCCTGTGCTGGGCACAGCATCCTGTATGGTGACCTCACCCCTCCCTGTTGGTGTCTCATTTCCTGCGAATCACCTGCACAAGCCCCTCCTCTTTTACCATGCCATGTGCTTTGGGCTGGCGTCCACACTTTGCTCTGTCTCTGCTCTGTCTTTCATTTCCTGGCCACTTCTCTTGATGATTCTTCAAATTGTTTTCTGAGTCATCAGCGAGAGCTCCTCCTTCTAGAACCAACTTGTAGCCAGTGGGCTCCAGTTTCTTATGTGGGGAGTAAACAGGATTTTCCTCTCCTCTTCCCAGAGCAGAGACGATGTGGTTCTGCTCTCATTTGGAAAGCAGGCATTCGTCATCCAAGACAGGTTTTTTGTTGTTATTGTTTTACGTATTGATTTTTAACAGACAGAGGCATCGCGTCCAGTTTATGTACACACAGACACATTTTTTTACAGACCAACCCATCTGTTCAGGTTGAAAGACGTAATATAGGATGACAGTTAAGGACACACGTTTTAGAGCCAGAATTCGAGTGTTGGAATCCTCCATCTCATCCCCTTGATGGTTTTACATTCTTAAGCTAGTTAGTTAACATTTCTCCACCTCAGTTTTATCATCTGTAAAATGGGGATAATGATGATATCGTCTCATGCTCTTGTGGAATTCAAATTGATTTAGTTCACGTGAAGCACTTAGTAACTGGAATACGATGAGTGCTTAATATTTATCCCTAAGTATTACAACGCCATCCTCAATGTGGCCGTTTAAGAGAATAAACTTAGAATTTAATGGGGATAGAAGTGCTTTGGCTAATCTTAACTGAGTACTCACTGTATCACTCACTGAGGGAGTATTCACTCTACCAAGCACTTTACATGGATTAGATTACCCCAGTTTAAATTATATTTCCAATGCCTTATTACCTGTGCAACATTAGCTAAAGTAGACAGTTTCTCTACACAATTTTCTCATCTACAGAATGGACATAAAATATCTTCTTTGAATTGCTCTGACAACTTACGCGAGGTTGCAGACAGCACTGGGGGAAAGAATTTACTATTTACTATGGGGGATTGTAGAGATTGTCGTTTTTGGTATTACTACCACTGTCATTATTACTAATAAGCAATGTTTTGTTTTGAGCGTGACAGGGGGCGCTAATCCAGACAAACATAACCCCTCTGGAATGATGATACATATGTGATTATTCTTCTCATGGCCCACAGGGCTGGGAGAGCGTTTGCTCTTGACCGTGGCAAGCAGTGAGCTGCCTGTGGATAAAACGATAGCAAAAATGAGAGAACTTACCCTTTCTTTTAAAACGACAGCGCTATTGCAAAAGGCAAATTGGTCTCAATTTTTCCACACGTTAAATAGCCTCCAATTTTATGATTAGATAGCTGAAGAAATTAAGTTTAAGTACAGTCAGTTGGCAGTAGTGATAAGGGGAGTGCGAGCGAAAAATAATGTCCCCCCGACCTTGCTGCTCCCGAGGGTGTAAGGTCGCTTTGCCACCGGGGCAGCTGTAGCCTGGTCCAGTCGCCCCTCAGCTCCACTCCCCCCAGCTCCGTGGACCGTGGACTGTGCAAGACGACATTTAAAGAGTTCTTTCTTTCCTTCTTTCTTCCAGGAACAATATAAGGGCCTCCAATTAGTTGCAGGTGCAAATATTATGCATGCAATTAATTGTCTTCAAATGGTTAATTATGGGCAGAATTGGCTAATTCGGGGTGCAATTAACTACTTGCCACTTATTCTGAGGATGCCCGTACACAATTGTGTCTGCAATTAATTTACAAGAGCCATTACAGTGAAAACCTTGTACTATAAATCCAAGAATAGAGTGGGAGAATTTTTTTTCGAAGCAGGACTTCACTCTGGGTTAATTGCATTGACTCTTTCCTTTGGCTTTTCTATGCAGGTTGACTGTCAATGGGGTTTCTACGAGTTGCTTACACGGTGTGAGCAGAGCCGCTAGCAATGAGAAGGCACAGAGGAACCAGCACGCGCTCAGGAGAGCAGCCGGGCCCTTGAGCGGCCAGGCCTCGGATGTCATTCAGGGAGCAACGTTCTACGGGCTCTGTGCTTCTTTGTTGGTCCATTTGTTTGTTTTTTTTTCTGGTACCTTCTGTGGCGGAGTAATGCAGGGGCATTTGCCGAAACGAAACCCTGACATCTTTCCCGACGAGTTCATTGTCTTTACCGAACAATCAACTTTAAAGCCATCTGATTTGTAGATTCATCAACAGTGATCAGCAGTTACACAGATCCTCTAAGCAATCATGAATATGGTTTTTAATTTACTAAGTTCCTTCTATAGGACAACCACTGAACTAAATACTTTGACTTACCGTATTAAAACCCTCAAAATAACTCTACGTATTAGGCACGCTTATGGTCCCCATGTTTGTGAACAAACTCAAAGAAAGGTCTGGTGACTCGCAGGTCAGTCATGGAGCTGACCGTAAACCATGCCTGCGCGTCTCCAGCCCTGGACCTTGGCTGCTGCACGATGTTGGGGATTTCAGGCCTGGACGGGCCCTCAGATGCCAACCTCTCTGGCTTCTTCCTTGGATGGATGGGGGCAGCCTGGCTCACGTGGCTCGCTGAAGACAAACTAGAAGCCAGATTGCCCGTGGCTCAGTCCAGTGCCGTCCTAACCACAACATGTCACCGAACGGAAACGACGCAGAGTACGTTCCGCCTGTTCTCTGTCCGTTCTTAATACGGGATGGTTTCCCGGCGCAGTCTGCCATGTTGGCGTGTCCGCGTGTAGGCCATTGATTGGAAATGACATTCCATTGAAAACGCCTCTGAGGACCATACATGGATCTCCAGCAGGGAAGGGTTAAAGTTGCAGGGATTTTGCAGGCTGGATCAAATGTTCTTGAGAGGCCATTCTTCACATCTTGTTTCTTTAGCACCGGGAGAAGGCGAGTAATCAAAGGTGACAAGCTTTCTCTGCTCGTCGGGTCCCATTCCCGGCGCAGGGCAGCCCACAGGCACATTGATCTGCAGCAGCAGCTGCTACTGGCCTCCGATGCAGAGATTCCAGGCCACACGGGGCCTCGTCGTGTTATTGGAAGGAAGGGAGGAAGGAGTGAAGGCACCACTATCAGCGAATTGAGACAAAACCTATTGTCTGCAACCATGAGATTCGGTCACCTTGAGTACATGTGCAGTGTGATTTAGCTGCTACCTCTGCTCAGGGCTCGGAGGTGGAAGGCAAGCACACTGGACGGTTGCTGGCCTACTTGGATGTATTGGTCTGCAGTCTGAAGGGGCTAGGAGGGGCCGGAGGCGCTCCTCTTGGAACAGACACCGAGAGCAGTACGAGAGCTGCGTTACAAAAGTCTCTGTCCGGAAGCGGAGGAAGACACCACAGAATAACGAATGCCCTTCTCTGCCATTTTCTCACGGACTCTTTTTTTTTTTTTTTTAAAGTATAATTTATTGTCAAGTTAGCTAACTGACAGTGTATACAGTGTGCTCTGGGTTTGAGGGGGTAGATTCCGTGATTCATCACTTACATACAACACCCGGGGCTCAGCCCAACGAAGCTACCTTCTGGAATAGAAGGGGACGGTGGGAAAGGGGGAGACAAAGAATCCATCGACACATATGCATCTGCTGTCTGCGAGGCCCTTCACGAAAACGATAACCTTATTATCGTTAACTACTTTCTAACCGCCTTGCGTGAGAGAAGATGTTTATCGCCATTTAAATAAGGAAGGAATGAATTTGGGAGAGGCGAACCAACTTGCCCAAATCCTACGCCGCATCTGCAGAAAGAACTGGAAGGAAGGTGTGCTGAGGTTGAGGATAAGGACAGTCAAGGCCGTTCGTTTCCTTATGGGATATGTCAGATTCCTTGAGACGTCCTGCAGAGTGGCTTTGAGTGAGGCTGGGTTCCCATATTTTGAGTATGATTTGTAAATCTAAGCCTTTTGTTCCCCATCAACGCGATTTTGTTTTCCTACCAAATAGGCGTGGCACGGAGAGACATCTTGCATTTGTGTCAGGTATTGTGTTATCGTGTGAAGGACCTTTAGGGAGTATGATGCCATGTGGATAGAATCGTTCTGATCTGGCTAGCCCAGGAAAGCCTGACCTGCTCGGTGAGCCTTGGGTGTAAAACATATGGGGCCCCTTGTGGTTGATCTCCTCCTTTTCTCCATTTTGATTTCCGGTTTCTTCTTTATATCTTAGGTCTTGGCCAACACTCTTGAATTTCTGAGTTCTGACTCACACTTTCAATAGCAATTAGGGTGTTCAGAACTGTGTCTTTTAGTGTCTTCAAAATCTCAGTTCTGATGGAAGAGCTCACAACAGCTTCTTGTTTTGAACCAGACTCTCTACCCCCATGAACTTCTCTGCAGAGTCTTGCCACCCACCTCTTGGTGTGACAATTACCATGTCTGTCCTGACCAAAGTGTGAATTCCATAGTATGCATCCACGGTATAATTAACATTGGCCGTTCCTTGTAGAAGCTATAAAAGGTATCAGAAGGATTGGTTTTAAAGAGAAACAAGAGAAAAAAAAAATTGATTCCTAGAAGAAAAGACTTGTCAAGGCAATTTCTTGCAAGAGCAAACCCTTCATTAGAAATCAAGTTAGATCTAATTTTGAAGGAGTGGATAGATGTCTCCTGGTATTTCCTATTGTCATATCATATATGACACGTATAGACGAGAGTGATTGTTTTCAATCCCACCTATATTAAAAGAGAGCTCACCAAATGGGTAAAATCGAATGTAATTAGTTTTACCTAAATTGTAGGTTTTCAGAGCAATTAATGAAACTGAAAGTTGAAAGCTGCTTGTTAAGCAAATCAAAGATCAAGGAATGTATTTCTTTTATTGAATGTCACTCCTATGTAAACCAACCTACACAAGTCATGTTCATGTTTGAAATACAACAAGTATGTCGTGGGAAGCCCCGGCAGAAGCAGCAACAGAGGCAGTTCACGCGTTGCCCGCTTTCCCGCCGACAACGGCAGCCGCATGCTAGGATTTGGAACCGAGATAGACCTGGTTTTGAGGCAGAACTCAGCTCTTCACTGGCCTAGGAGCATGAATGCTTTCTTCACCGCTGAAGCCTCACATTCTCTGGTCTATTCCTGCCTTTAGAAAGGCAAACACTTTAGAATTCCAGGATGATTTTCCAGGGAGGCTTCTTCATAGAACCCCCAGCCCAGGGGTTGGTAGGAACCCCGAGGTGGCATCCACCGCACCATTCACATGCGCATCGTGCCGTCGGCCACTGAGAGCATTTGGTGTTTGTGTCACCCGTGTTGATTTCGTAACACCTCTTTGCAAGGAGAATAAGGTACCTGAGATATTGTGATTCACAATAAGAATATATATTTGCTCTTGTTCTGCCACAGAGCTCCTAAAACCTTTGGAATTTTCTAAGTGATGAGAGTGATAAAGACTTTTGTTCTGTTCTCGGGGTGGCTTTTGGAGCCCTGGCGGCAGGAGAACCAACCTGGCGAGTAGAAGGTGGAGACTTTCAGTCCCACTCCTCCCCACGCCAGCCCTCGCTTGTGGGCAGACTTACGTGGGGGAGAATGAATATCCACGGTCATCGCTCAAAGGTTTAATCAATCGTGTCTATGTAATGAGGCCTCCGTAGAGGGACCCAAAAGGGTGGGGTTCAAAGAACTCTTGCGTTGGGCAACACGTGGGGGTTTGAGACAGCAGTGCACCTGGACAGAACAGGACTTGCCCTTTCCCCTCCCTCTGTCCCCAAGCATCTCTTCAACCTGATTGTTCCTCAGTACTATCCTTGTATCGTGCACTAGTTGATCTAGTAAGTCAAGTGTTTCTCTGAATTCTGTAAGCTCCTGTAGCAAATGAATCAAACCCAAGCTGGGGGTTGTTGGAACGTTCCATCTGTAGCTGGCAGGTCACAAACACAGGTGCCAACCTGGACCGGCAGCCAGCATCTAGGGAGGTCGGGGTGGGGGCGGCTGGGGGGGTGCTGTGTCATAGGACTGAGACCCAACTTGCAGGATTTCAGGCTGTCTCTAGGTGCACAGCGTCAGAATTGGGTGGAATTACAGGACACCCGGTGTCCAGCTCATGTCCAAGAATTGATTGGTGGTAAGGATACCCTTCCCACACACGCGCGTTGGAGTTGGCGACCAGAACCACTAACACCTATCATTAGGCCAGTGCAGCAGGTGAGGACAGTGAGACGTGAAGACACAGAGCCTGCTGTGTCCTGGGCATGGGATAAAGTCGCCCTCGCATTATTGCAATTGCTGTAGTGACCACTTACGTTGGCATCTCTTTAAGAGCACCCACGCTCTTAATTTAGTGTTTTTTTAATACATAGCAAAAATTACAACAAAGAGAAGGATCTAATTTGTATGTCCAGCTTCCTACAGTTCCGTAGGGTCTCCAGGACTCCAGCGAACCGTTGATCCAGGTATCAAATGATGGGTGAGAAAAGAACAGACATATTGGAGCTGACTTTCCAACAAGGGTATCAAAATATAGAACTCTCCAGAGAGGAGCAAAGATCTTCCATGGAATCCTCCCAAAGGGAGAATGTGGCACATTTTATTTGCACCATGAATAAACATACATTCATATAATGCTTGCCTTATACCCAAATTAGATATGGTACCAGGCAGTGGAGTATAATGGAGACGAGTGTGGGCTTTGCAAGGCACTGTGCTATAAATCGTGAGACTTTACGTGAAGTATCTTACCCCTCAGGATGCTCTCTTTTCTGTGGGTCCACTTGCAAAATGGGGGCGGTAACTTCTTTACAGGGTCTGTGGGAAGAGGGAATGAGATACAGAACATCAAGCAGCCAGTTCCTGGCTTAGCATCATGAAGTCACCATGAACGCTGTCCCTACTTAAGGTGCGGAAAAAGAGATGTTCAGAACCGCTAATATATAACTATTTTCTATAACGCCTATGGAAGCCTTTTTTCTGAAGGAAAGAAACAAACAAACAAAAAAATAAGCATACAAACCTTAAGAGAAACCTAAAGAAAAAGATCTCGAATAACAAACAGGACAACATATAGATGCATTACGAGACCAGAAATGAGGACCATATGGATGAGATTTTGCTTAAAATACACTTGGGCTTAGGAAAAAAAATGAGAGAAAATGGCTGGCAAAAAAAAAAAAAAAAAAAATGTGCTTTGCAATGGTGCCAACTTTGAAAACATTTGAATAAATAATTTCAGCTTCGCAAAAGTATAGAAAGATTTCTCTCGTTGTCCTGGATACACGAGAGAAGAGAAATGTGGCATGTGGATCAGTAGTGCTTACGGTGAACATGTAGATATTTTGGCAAGACCCAGCGATAAGACACTTCCCTGTGCGGCGGGCTGGCTTCACTTTGAAGTTGAGACCCGTCGCTGCGCCCTGGTTGGCCAATCCACACACTTACTGCCTGTTGGCACCCGGGAGGCACCCCTGCGTTAGTTTTGGCCTGAATGTCACCAGTAGTCCAGCAGGGATGAATGAACATGGAACGTGGAACATAGCGTACGTGTGTGCAAATAGCCTGCCTTGTCCCGTTCTGCAAGAAGGCGGTGGAGACGCTCTGGGATGAGGAATTGCGGCCACACCTTCTTGTGCAGTCCGCGGTGTCCGGTTTTCTTTTTACCTCCTCTGTTGTGCCTGCACACGGGAGCTTGCATTCCTTTCACTTGTTTTTTTTTTTTTTGTTTTTTTTTTAATTTTTAATTTTTAATGTTTTTAAATTAAAAAAATTTTAATGTTTTTATTTATTTCTGAGACAGAGAGAGACAGATCATGAGCAGGGGAGAGGCAGACAGAGGCGGGGACACAGAATCTGAAGCAGGCTCCAGGCTCTGAGCTGTCAGCACAGAGCCCGACGCGGGGCTCGAACCCACAAACTGCGAGATCATGACCTGAGCCGAAGTCAAACGACTGAGCCACCCAGGTGACCCTCCTTTTACTTGTTTTAACCAGAACAATGATACCTTTCAAATAAATATAATCCTCCCAAATGCTTTGGTCCTGGGCTCAAGGACCTACTTCAGGTGAAGCATGTATATATCTTTTTGTGTGAAATGGGCACGGGCATCCGGATCAGAACTGACTTTCAGCCACTCTTTGGCCGTCTGTTGTCCCTGGTTAACACGAATCTCACTCTGTGGGGAGCACCGGTCCTTCATTTCCGCACCGCCACTCTTTTTCCCCAGGGCACCGACCTGAGATTTCCGATTCGAACACACCCTTCCAGCACCGGAGGACATTTGTCTCTGCGCCTGCTCCGGTTCCCTTAAAAATCCCTGATGAACAGGTCCCTACCGAGCACCTACTGTGTGACAGGGTGCGCACCATGGTAGGTCTGCAGTTTACAGAGAAGAGTCATGGCCTCTGCCTTGAGGAGCTACGATCGCCCCTGAACGAATGGCCACCTTACGTTTTCATGGGGCTTTCAGAGAAGCCCAACGCTAGGGAGGAGAGAGACACATGGGGTGCGAGGTGGTACCTCACTCGGGATCGAATCAAACCAGAAACACACCAAAAGTAAAGACAAGTGAGACAATATTTGACACACTCTCCCATCTCTGCTTGGGGCCTATCTCCTGGAGAAAAGCAAAGTTTTGTTAATAGTGCAAGTTCTTTTTTTTTTAAGGTTTTATTTATTTATTTTGAGAAAGTGTGAAAGAGAGAGAAAGAGAGAGAGAGAGAGGGAGAGAGAGGACAAGCAGGGGAGAGGCAAAAAGAGAGGAGGACAGAGGATCCCAAGTGGGCTCTGTGCTGACAGCTGTGAGCCCATGCAGGGCCTGAATTCACGAACCGTGAGATCATGACCAGAACCAAAGTCGGGCGCTTAACCTACTGAGCCACCCAAGTGCCCCCGTAGTGCAAGTTCTTTTTTTATTTATTTATTTAAAAAAAATATTTATTTTTGAGAGAGACAGAGCATGAATGGGGGAGGGGCAGGGAGAGAGAGGGAGACACAGAATCCCAGGCAGGCTCCAGGCTCCGAGCCATCAGCACAGAGCCTGTCGCAGGGCTTGATCTCACAGACCGCGAGATCCTGACCTGAGCCGAAGTCGGACGCTTAACCGACTGAGCCACCCAGGTGCCCCCCCACTAGTGCGAGTTCTAAATGTGCTCCTTCCAAGTAGCTGTATTTTGCAGAGATCCTAATGACTCACCAGCATCGGAAGAATAAACTCTGTCCTCAGTTGGGTCCTTTGCAATCTGTGGCTAACTGCTCTCTGCGTTCTTTTTCATGGTTCAAACTTATAGGATTCCAAATTAATTTGGCCGATACCCTCCCCATGGTCAGTGTTTCCTCCGACCTCAATCTACGTTCGCTCATTTTCTTCTCACGCAGAATGTTCTGCAGCCTCCTCGTCATCTACGTGGGGCCAAGGGGGGCTGAAGAGTCAAGTCGGGAGACCTCGTTTCTCACCTGCACACCTGGAGCTGGAGCAGACAGTTAGGGGAGCCCTGGAACAGGGCATCGTGGGTGTGAATCTGCCAATCTCTTCGATGACTTCGGATAAGTTGACCCTGAACTTTCTTCACCTGGGTAGCGGGGGGATGCGTGCTTCTTTCTGAGAGTTACCGTGAAGGAGGTTAAATAAGACGCCAGCAGAGTGCCTGCTGTCCGCTCAGTGTTACTTGGCAGTTTTCTTCCCCAGCTATGCTTAGTTATTTTTCTTTAATCCATGCCATGGGGCACCTCTTTGAGATCCAAGACACTACCCTCCTTTCATACTACCGGGACCCCAAAAACATGCCTCCGAAGGCAATGTAAACATAGTACTTAGGCACAGATATTTATTATTAGTATTGTTTTGTGTTTTTTTTTCCAACGTTTATTTATTTTTGGGACAGAGAGAGACAGAGCATGAACGGGGGAGGAGCAGAGAGAGAGGGAGACACAGAATCGGAAACAGGCTCCAGGCTCTGAGCCATCAGCCCAGAGCCTGACGCGGGGCTCGAACTCCCGGACCGCGAGATCGTGACCTGGCTGAAGTCGGACGCTTAACTGACTGCGCCACCCAGGCGCCCCTTATTAGTATTGTTTTTAAGTGGCTTTGTGGCATTTGAAATACTGTCTACTATGATGAGAACCCTATTAAACCTTAATTCCTTTCTTAGAGGCCTCCAAATCTAGCCACACTGGGGCTTCCAGGTGGAGGTGTGGGCAGGAGGCTTCAGCTGGTGACAAAGGGTGATAATCAGCCTCTGAAAACAGACTCTCGCATGCCCTCAATTTGAGTGGGGGCCCCAGCAATCCTTTCTCTATTTCTTGGGTTGATGGACAAAAGGCGTATCCCCAGGATTTTAATCTTCATTCACCACTCCTTCCAAGCCTCCACCTTTTTGTTTGTGTGTGTGCTAAGGTAAGACCCCACACTGTGCTTTTCAGCGGCAGCAAATCTATGATTCTTCATATGCAGGGATCCCTCCAATGCTAAGGAGGAGATTAAAATATCTCGGACCAGCAGTGTGCCTGGCAGGGGCTGCCTGTGTGTCCCAACCCCCAGTCAGCAGGAGCAGCACGTGTTGGTGACTTCTTCAGAGCTAATGTTAAAAAGTGAACTCACAGGCCCTGAAAAGAGATACGTATATAAGCAATTGAAAAGAAAAGAGTTGATTTGTGGCAAAACAGGGCACGTTTTTACGCCAAAGCCAAATGTTCATTTTACTCAGCACCCTCGTGTTCCTCTGTATCTGTACCTAAACACACACACACGCACATGCACACACACACACACACACACACACACACGTGTCCTGTGTGTGTGGGAACATGCACACAATCTTCGTATTTGATACACATAAAACATAGACACAACCCAATCCAAACTAGCTGTTGGGATTCAAGTCCAAGACTAGAACATGAGACCCTCCAGACATGTGAACATAAATGCAGAGCAGAAATTCAACAAGATGATACCCCCCCTTCCCCCACCTCCACTGTGTGTAATCCTTTCTCTCTCATATTTTTATATATTTTACACCCGTGGATCTTGATGAACTTAAGCCCGGGCATTGTACAGATTCCAGATTTCAAATGAATAACTCTTTCATTTAGTTAATAGCTGCAGCAGAGCCATAAAGCCGTAATAGTTTATGACTTTCAGGATATAACCTGCAACCACAGACAATATAAATTATATTACATTGCACTTTATAGCCGTATGAAGCACACACAAGACCTCGCCGCTGGTGTGAAGGCTGGGGAGTGGGGGTGGGGTGTAATGAGTTGTTTGTTTGTTTGTTTGTTTGTTTGTTTGTTTTCCTTCTTGGCTAAAAAACACCTTCATCCTATGACCCAGCAAGCCTTCATTCTGACCGGAGGCCTCCACAGCCGCTGTGCCGAATGCCATTGCGACCACAAAAGAAAGCTGTTGATAAAGGATCGAGGTGAATATTTTCATTTCACTCTTAACTTACGTTGTTGCTTCCAGCACACATGGAGAAGCCACCTCCATTTCTGCCGTAGGCAGCCATCATTATTTTCGAGATGTATGTCATCGGCGACGCAAGGTACTGGACGGCAGACGGAATGGCTCTGTGGACAGACTCGCCGGTATTTTTGTGTCGTTCTACTACGTATTCAGAAGAGGTGGGAGGATGTTATCCTCCCTCAATAGCTCGTGTGGCTTCTAAATCCGGCCTCGTGTCTGGGCTTAAGGTTCGGCCTCTGAACCCAGAGCAGAGGAGGAACCCTGATTGTGTAAATGGACCGTCTAAATAAAAAAGGAAGATAATCGAGCTTCAGAAATTGTTAAGGGCCAGAGGGAGAGAGGAAGGCAGCCCAGCTTTTGAAATGATGACAAGGCACTCACTTCTTCCCTGCACCTGCTGCCTGCGAAGTGCTGTGTTACTGAAGAGGCCCGCGGTCCGATCTGCATATCAAATAGCTGATTTGTAGATGAGGTCATTCCTTTTGTGGTCTGTCTGTTGCAGGCGCTGGGGATGGGCTGTTGCCTAGCAGTGGGCCACAGGGTCCCGCAGGCTCCTGGGGTCACTCGGCAGCCCCTCACCCATTCTAAATTCAGACCCAGGATTGTTTTCATGAATAAATCTCGGAAATAGCTAATGCATGGCTAAGTTCAAAGCGTGGGTGATATATGACCAGCGAGGCTTTTCTCTAATGACTTTAGTTCATCAGATTAGGTATTGTAGGAGCGAAAGGGTCGTCCAGTTGCCTTTCTGTGTCCTTCTCACTATCACACGATGGGGCGACGCCTTAGCGCATAAATGTGGTACCCCCTTTCCGCCTGCCCGGGTAGAGCTCATTGTGTGATGCCATGGTGAAAAGATAAATTAAAACATGGTGCTCTGTGGACTATGAAAATATGGCAAAATCGGATTTGGATAACCGAGTGCAACTTTTAAGAAAGCTTTGTTACTCTTAGTTTGCTGTTAATCTGTTGGCTCTTGCTATGTGCGTGTGCACGTACACATGCGCGTGTGCATATTCATGCACACACACACACACACACACACACGCATATTTCAAGCTGCGGCTTTTTCCAATAGACACCCGCAAAAGAATAAAACGGTGAATAAAAATCAGCGAAGGCCTTGATAATTGAGTCTTTGTGCGCTTCTCAATACAGAACACTCTCTTTTACCTGGCCTGATTCTTCCAACTGGATTTTTCCATGGCTGCATGGGCTTTGACAAGTAGAGAAATTTCCAGAGCAGCATGCCGTTTTGAAAATTAGGAATCCGAAAGTGAGACCAAAATTTAGTCCAAACGCATTTAGGATGAAGCCCCTAGGTGAGAGGTATGAGTCTAGTCGTAGATGCTTTCTTGGGATAAACATCTTCTTTTGTTATATTTCCCGGATTTATCAGAGCCTTTCAGTTTCCGATGGCTGATTCTAGCCACGGCAGTAGCTTTTCAGATTAGGGACATCCTACCGTGGTAAGGAAAATCGGTCAACATAGCCACGAATAGCTATAACGATGCAAGGACGACGGTAAGAGGGAGAAAAGGCTGGTGCTCACGAATTGGCGAGAGAAGTGCCACCTGCCAAAGGTGTCACCTCACGAATGACCTTAGGTACCTTCCCTGGACAAGGAAACTCAAACTACGCACGAGACACGAACATCTGTACACTTAGAAAATTTATTTCAGTTAAGCGTGGTCAGTAAGGGATGTTTTTCCGGTTTGCGGGTGGGCAACGTAGGGGTAATAAAAAATACGCCTGTAAATGCTGCTTTTCATGCTTTTGAAGATTAACGATTCTGGATGATACTGAGGTATATTTTTTTTAATGTCTTGCAAAACTGACATGAAAGTATAGAAACAGACATAGAAATAGAAATTATAGAGATGCCTCGTATCTGCTTAAGAGTTTAAACGCCATCGTTCCCTTGCAAATATTTCACTTCATTTGAACCTCCCTTTCTTCAGAGGCAGACACTGGGGCTCTCGAGGGGATGACTTATTCAGGGTCCTTTTGCAAACACAGAGCCAAGGAAGGATTCGGTCTCTGCCGTGCCATTACGTTTCCCCAACAGCTAACCCTGGATGGACATCTACCGAAAATTATGGCTGAGCACATTAAGAAATACTGTTTTAAAATCATTATATATACACATATGGCATCTATATCAGATGTCTATCAAATAGTGCATGTGTAAAGAATCAGAAAGCAATTCACATTGTTTTCAAAGCGGCATTTTGTTTTTTAAATACACATATGCACATAAATGAAATATGGTAGCCCTTAAACCTCGTTCTGGAAATACAGTCTGGTCTTATATGTCGTGGAAGTCAGGAGACATCAGTTTCTTCGAGAAGTCTGTGTACTAAAGAGCTATCAAATCCTGACCAGCATTAATTAATGATGCGTTCTTGTATCTGCAACATCAAATAATAGAAACTTAGTAAGGCGAGGTACCCCAAAAGCCCAGAAGGAATCAAATTTGCATCTAGATATAGCCTGATCTTTGACCCTCTTTACACACCGAAAACCCTTTGAAATTGAGGCTCTTGGCCACAGATTAATGAGCCGTAGGCGGGCCTGAGGGCCTGGTGATGATGCTCGGAGAATTTATGCAATTCATACAGCAGTGAAGAGGTTAACTTCAACCATCTCCTAGGGAACCAGCAGTGACAGCCCGACACACAGTCCTGGGAGATTACTGGTCTGCTGTTTAACAAAGTAAATTTTGATTGCTGTTGATTTTTTTTTTTTTGAGTCAATTTTATTTTTCTTTCACTGTATTCAAGCCAGTGCCAAGAAGCATGTTACAAATGCAGGGATATTCTCCATGCTAGAGAGAACTCGAGATTTAAAAACATCAACAACGGCAGTATTTGTAAAAATGCTCCAAGCCTGTGTTTACTTACAACAGCTTAGATTTGAATATTTGTGATGTAGAATCACCACGGGGAAAAATAGCCAAGGTGCGTCCATCCGCCTCGTGAAGCGATTTCTAAATCTGCATCCACGTTCCCCACTCGTGAGGAAGGGTCCATTTCTGCAAATCACACATAACTTGATTTTAAGGCCTTGGGTATTCCATGCCGTGTTTGATATATTGGCTAGGTCTTTTTTTTAAGCCATCGTCTTGAGTTTTAGAGTCGGCCAAAGCAGACATGTATGTAAGTCCCATTCACAGATACACACACACACAAAAGATTTGTTCAAAGTTCCTCAAGCGTCTCCTCCCCCGTCCAAATCTTTCCCGGGTACCGTGGTGTCGACCAGAGGTAACACAACGACACGTGCATTTGAGCTTAATGAGTGATTCATCTGCAGGCAGCGAGGGTCAAGATAAATCCACGGCAAAACAGTTCAGGTTGGAGAAGGAATATAAGGAACATTTTTATTTATCGTGCTGCCTAATAAAGAACCGATCTCTCCTTGCATAAACCCACAGCCGCCAACATGACAACGATTTGCGCCCTTGTGCTCTAAGATTGACTTTCTCCAGAATGCGTTTTGTTTTCCCACCCGACACCCATCGGTCAGCCTCCTTGGTGTGGGTTTTGCTTGTTCCTTGGCTATCTGATCATTGCCCCCCAAATACCGGAGAATGACTGAAGTCCCCCCCCCCAAAAAAATTAAAAACAAAATAAGACAATGATTTGGATGATAAATTGCAGGGCGCATGTGGGCGTGGCCCTGGGCCTCGGCGAAGATGGCACCAGGAGTGAGACCTATTTCACCACAGCAGTTCTGACCCCCAGGAGTGACCGAGGGGTGGGCCCTGAGGAGCTTTCCGACCAAAAGGCCAGTGCTTGGAGTCCGCTCCAGGAACCCAGGAGGCTGTTATCCTACAAAAGAGCTTTGTGAAGCCAAATCTTTAATTCCAAGAGCAATGCCTAATTTATACCCCGCAGCAGGCTGGGTATTCTGCCTCTGCTATTTTTACAACATTTCTGGGGTATCCCTTTGTTATCGTAGATACCAATGGAGAATCAAAGGCTGGCTTTTCCCCACCCCCTGGTCATCACCCAGCATTCTGTCATCCTCACTCTGCTTGAGATTAGAAAAATCAACAACACGATCCCCAAATCTAATGAAGAGACAACGCTGAGGAATGTATGTGATTTTTTTTTTTTTTTTTTTTGCACCGAGCAGATATTCTAGCAGTCAATTCTGTGATGTTCCCTACATCAATGGTGCATAACCATGTGCTTTTCTTAATAGGATTTATGCTTGTCGGCTTTCTATATGCCCTGCCATGCTAGATAAAGGGAAGGCTGAGTCCCCGCAGTAACCATAGCCACTGCAGTGCTGGCAAATTCCTCCTAAGCATAAAACAGGCAACGCGAGGGAAGAATCCGTCCGCTTATACATAAACATGACAGACTCCTATCTGGAAGCCGAGGGTATCTAGCCTCCAGATTGCATTCAGATTTCCTGACGGTCGGGCCAGCTCCCCCTCTTAAATCCTCCCTTTGCAACATCTGCCGCTGGACCACAAGGAAACCTTCCCTCTTTCCAGACTCAAACCCACTTCCAGCCAAATGTCACCCGGACTCCACGGAGGACGGAGGGAGGAGAATTGTCGACGCGTCTGCTCTGACTGCAAAGGTTATTTCACTGCCTTCGAGATGACTCTTGAGCAGCCGGCAGCGCTTAGGACGGACGGGCACCCTGAATGCGCGGGTTGCTAGGAGATAACTCCAGCTTTCAGCCGGCATTGGCCGGAGTTATCTCTAATTGACAGCTCCTTACCCTAAGGGTCTAATTCTAACCTTGAGACCGAGACGATAATGAGAGGGCAGCTTTGCCATCGCCCTGCTTCTGGCCAAGGCGAGGAGATTACTGGCCGCCTGTTTTTCTGGGGTTTTGTTATGCTTCTTAGGACCCAGGCAATGAGAGACACACAGGGGCTGCTGTCTGCAGCCCGGCTTTGTGTCACTTGGGGGCTTGTTTGATTCATGCCACCTGAATAAACTTGCGCTTTCTGTTCAGACGGTCTCCCTTTGAAAGGAGAAGGGCACGCAGGGAGGAGAAGCCTTTGCTGCACTTTGAAACGATTTGGAATTTGAGCAGGGAAGGTGGGTTTCTTTAAAAGGGCGGGGAGGGGGGAGGAGAGGAGGAAAAGAAAAGGGAAGAAAACACTAGATCCCCGTGTTCAAGCGCTCGCTCCTCCCCCCAGGGTCGTGAATGGCTCAGAGCCCTGCAGTCTCTGCTGCTTGTAAGGACTTATTTAGGACTGGGGGAGGGAGGGGGGGAGCGGTAAAGCCAGCAGCAACAGACAGGAAGAGACGGGCAGGCCCGCAAAAGGGGGTGTTACCATGCGGCCCATCCCGCAAGGCTGCTGACTTATTTTGCGGAAGCAAACAGGGTACATCCGTGCAATCAATTCATGTCCAGCCTGAAGCTAAGCGGCCCGAGGGCTGAGGGGTCCCCTGCCATCTATTCAGCGACACAGTGGGGGGGGGGGGGGAGGATTCCAGGGAGCCGGCTGGCAGGTCAGCAAGGAGAGGCCCTCTGATTCCAGGAGACACAATTGCAGTCCAGTCGCTCGCTGTTCCTCCCACAGGGCCTCACCCCTCCTCTGCACACCCGCAGCCAGTGGAAACACTCAGGCCGGTTCTGCATTTCTGAACCCCAAGGTTGCCATTTCACAGACAGCACCCCTCGAGTGCCGCGTTTCCCGCCAGCACTGGCGTGGTTTTCGCTGATGGTGAGCGGGTCTCTGGAATATTTCAAACGGAGAAAGGCCTCCAGAGTCCAGACCCGAGAGGCTCAGAGACCCTGCTTTTGTCCTCTGCGATTCCGCATCACCCGGACACCGAAAGGCATGAGTTTTCAAGCCAACAGAGGGAGAGACGGGCGAAGGCCAAAGACCAAACCCGAAGAATATCCTTCGGCAAAATATTGTGCTATTTTCCCTCTATTTTCTAAATATTTTTATTGAGATTCCTGCAAAGCAGGGCTGTTTCAGAAGGGGGGGGTATTATTTTCCAATGCAACCTTTGAGGGAGGAAAACAAAAAAACTACGAGAGCCACAACTCCCTGGAGTTTTAGTAACATTTTATTTAATTTATAAATACAGTTTTTTTTTTTAAAGCGCAGTATCTAGGAAAACAAGGAAAAATGTTAATGATCAACACAGTCAGTAAGTGAGGACTTTCTTCTCGAATGATTTGTTTTTTTGTAAATTGCAGATTTTACTTAAATATCAGTTCAATTTACAGAAGGGCTGTAAGAGCACTGCAAACATTGCACAACCTTTACAGACCCAACAATTATTCACCTTTTGCACACTGTTCTTACCTTCTTTCTCTCTGTGTGTGTGTGTGTGTGTGTGTGTGTGTGTGTGTGTGTGTGTATTTACTGAGTTTTATTTTTCTTCTTATTTTTCACTATCTTTTATCCTTCCAGACACATTTGGTAAGAAGCTGAACATGACTTGTCTCGTTACCTCTAAATATTTCATTCTGTTTATCCTAAGAACAAGAATATTCTCCTACATAATCCCTGTATAATTATCCAAATCAGGATATTTAACAACAATGCAAAACCACCAGCTAATTCAAAATCCATGATCAAAGTTATCTGTTGTCTCAGAAATGTCCTTCATTGCTATGTTTTCCCAGGTCTGGATCAATTCCAAACCTCACATTACATTTAGGTGTCCACGGGAGGTTTGTAATCATCTCACCAAGAAAGGTCTGGAAAGTTCACAGTGCCATACTGCAGGACATTTTCAATCTTCAGTTGTTTTGAATATAAAACACTTGGGGGAAAGGAGACACCTCCAGATGGGTCAGGGCGCCTCTGAGGAGTTCCATTATGCAGAAGATAAATCCTGACTTCTCTAAAGAGAAACGGGGCCCTTATTTTCACATAGGACCTCAAGCAAATACCAACAATGCCAGTGTAAAACAAACGTTTTGTTACAAAAATCTTGATCTTACACAAAATGAGAAGTGCCACTCATGACATGAGAGCTGGAGAAATCAGCATATTTCTGAAAGATTCTTACACATGGGCTTTTATTAGTGTAGACACTTCTCCACCCCAGACAGGGGGAAGGAGATAGGAAGACAGTGAGTGACAGAGACAGCGTGGAAATTATAAACGGAATAAATAATCAGCTCAGGATGCAAAGAGATAAATAATGCATAGAGAAACAAGGGAATTTTTAATTTAAAAAATGAAGTTTTTGTGTTATCTTATTATCATGAATGTTCTCCATAAGGGGGATCGTGTTGCCATTGCGAATATTGTCTTGCAGTTCTGGTCGTGGACCTGTTTGGGGTCCAAGATGCCTGTGCCCCTCTTGTGCCCCCCTCTCCCAGAGGAGGGGATGATCACCCTTCTCCGTGAGGTTCCGGCTGTGTAACCGAGCCAACGTGAGTTCTCTCCGAGGTGAGTCGTAAAAACACACCAGGTGAGTTGTCGCACAAAAGAAAGTATGTGCAGCAAATGAGATCAGGGGGAATGACTCCCAAAGCGCTGACTCCCCGGGCAAGGGGGGCTGGGCTCCTTTTACTCGGGGTCAGGAGGAACACCTAGGTAGGGAGGCCTCACCACCGCAGGTGGAGGCAGCTTGAGGTCACGCAGGCGCCTTAAGGAGACCCGCCTGTGCATACGCTGTATGTTATATACACGAGGCTCCTGTTCCCGGGGTGGAGACTTAGAATCACAATGAAGTAAAGGGACCGGCCCGTCTCTCCGTGGTCCATCTGCGCAGGCGTGAGTGTGTGGGGGGGGTGGGCGGGATGCCCAAACTGGTCTGGCCGGTCTGTCCCTGTGGGAACCTTGAGCTGTTATTGCTTGAGGGATAGTTTCCATCTCCGTCATGGGATGTTAGGGTCCTCGCCTGAGTAAGGAGGCGAGCTGGAAAGAAGAGCTGAGGGAAAAATGTGGGACAAATGCCGGTGGCTACAAGCAGGTGAGCTGTAAAGGTCAAGTCTTGGGGTCCGGCTGGTGACAGCTTTTGTGCATGCATTGTGTTGATGTGACATCTGAGCTCTGAGGGCCACTCTAGTCCCATATAGCCGTGCACACGGTCCTAACTTAGTTTCTAGCCTCTTCCTAATTCTACAGGAATACGTTCGATGGAAGGGCCATCACAGATGGATATAAAATTCCTGGAATCAATCTCTGCCATGTTTCCCAATGACTCAGTAGGAGCATTCAGTGTTTCTTGGTATTGCGAAGCTTGATGTGTACGCATGCACGACTACCACCTCTGCTTAGCTCCCAAACTAACCTTTCTGGAGCCGCCACCTGACTTTACCTTTCCGTCCCTGTGTGCATGTGTCAGCTCACACAATTTTCTACGCCATTAAAAATGGCACCCGGTACTTTTCCACGGGCAACCATTCTTCCACGAGCCAGTTTTAAATTCATTCTTTTACACTTTGCATTTCTGTTTCAAAGCCAGCAATTGACTCCAGGTGGTGGCCTATCAGACAGGGTGGTGGATGTATGCAGTGGGTTTCAATTCAGAAGGTGGGCTCTTCTAGAAAAGAGTTCCCGCAGAAGGAGAGGGGGGCAGATCCGGAATGGTGCGCGGGCAGCCGTGTAGTAGGTGAGGGGTTTTTTTGATTCAAATGAATAGTGTCTGTATTTGTTTGTTGGTCTCGATTGACACGTAATTGACATACAATATCCTATTCTTTCCAGGTGTACGTCATAGAGATTTGATATTTCCATACGTCATGAGATGATCCCAGTGAGAAGTCTAGTTACCACCTGTCATCGTACCAAATGATTACTATATGAGTGACCATATTTCCTCCGTTGTACCTCACATCCCATGTCTTCCCTATTTTGTTGGTGGAAGTCTGTGACCTCTTAATTCCCTCACCCATTTTGTAGGGAAAGGGGACTAGTAAAATTAGACCCCGATGATAAGGCATGAGAAGGAAATATGTTTCAAATGCACGTCTGCATGGGAGGGGCTCCTACATAAAAACCATGTTATGAAAAGGGCCCACAGAACAAACGTGTGTCCTTGGAGAGTCTGGTTGCTTTAAGTTAAGAGCACATCTGGGGGTTTTCTGCACATACTGGAGTCAATTATATCTTATCTCTATATGGAGTCATTCAACAAGCACACCCTGTTCTCGGTCATGCCTATGACCCTTGCCATGGCTCGTGTGGCAGTGTCTGTAGACCAGCATTCAGGAAAGGCCACCCAAGCCACCAGCGTGCACGGAGCTTACCCTAGAACTACCTCTCCACTATCGACAGAGAGGATCTCAGGCCAACTCACAGAGGAACAAAAGTGCTCAATAAATACTTACTCTCATTTGTAACCTCCTCTGTATCCTCTCTGATTTCTTCTCATTGGGCTTTGATCTTTGGAAGACATGGGGTGAACTACCATGAGCATAGGTATATTCCTGAGTCTATCCAGAGGCTGAATCCATGGTGTTCCTTGAGGTTTCTCCATCTTTATTATTTTTAAGACAGCTCATCTTTCCTCCAGAATGTCCCCTGGTGCTTCTGCTTTGAGGTCAAGGCAGTCAGTCCCCTGCCAAAAACCAAATAAATATGCTATTGAACCCATTAGTGCATTAGCTCAAAATAAATAACACTCAACCGTGAGTGTTGCTTAGGGGCCATTTTTGGAATTTGAAGCCTCAGAGTGAGAAATTCAGAATTTCCTGTTTTGTGCCCAAACAGTAGAGCCGTTATTGGGAGAGCAGAGCAAGGCGGGGGGGATGGTGGACCTTTTGTTCTATCAAATGAGGAAAGCAGGTAATGGGTGTGGCTGCCGTGACAACAAACAAAACCTGGATGGGCTTCCTGCTGATTTTCTGGGTGGAAGCTGTCATTCGAAAACAACAACAAAAACAAAAACAAAAACAAAAAAAAGAAAGAAAAAATGACCATCTCCTGTGTTTTGCCTGGGGTTGACGATATCACACAGCCTTGGCTTTCAGGGGCTCCGAAGGCACCTAGCTGTTAGTGGGCTATGTGCCACACAAGTCCACAATTACGAATAAATTGTTCTGGGATCACAGATGAGGAAAATTGATTCTCTCTTGTGGAGGTAGGGATGACTTCACAGAGGAAGTGACATTAGCACTGTCGCTTGAAAAGTTGGGTGGGGTTTTGCCACACAGTTAAATGACAAATTATGGCCCCAGGCAGCCAAATCAGGTCAAACTCGGGGTGGGGGGGCTGTGAAATTTCATGGCATGGTCTCAGAATGACGATACACCTGTGTTGAGAGGGTTTGGGGTGCAGGAAGGAAGGGGAACACAGTCTGGGTGCATGGTCACCTGGGTTGCGTGGTCCCGGGGTTCGTTCTGGGCTGAGGTGTAGAGCACCTGCTGGGAACGATGCCCTTTACCGGGCACTCTGGATGCAGCAGCCAGATGCCATGACCCCAACACATGAACAACAAATGGAGAATTTCAGATGGTGATGAGGGTTACAAAACGATGAAATATGTTACCATCATAGATAACATCTGTGCAGTGGGGAGAGGAATCCTGCTTCCAATGGGGTTTCAAGAATGCTTTCTGAGGGACGGCTCTCCGGCTGGTGGCTGGGCCGTGGGTCTGAGGCTCCCGGTCCAGAGAAGTCCAGACTAAAGGGAACGATTGCCAGCATGTGCCTCTGACGGTCCGCACCGGGAAGAGGTCCCCATCACAACAGCTGTGCTCCTGCCCAAATAGGAATACTCAGAGTGATCGCAAGAAAACATTCCACAAACGCAGATTAAGCCCCATTCTACAGGGGCGCCTGGATGGCTCCGTCAGTTAAGCTTCTGACTCTTGGTTTCAGCTCAGGTCATGATCTCACGGCTCCCATGATCGAGCTCCATGTCGGGCCCTGCACTGACAGTGAGGAGCCTGCTTGGCATTCTCTCTCTCTCTCTCTCTGCCCCTCCGCTGCTTGAGCTCTCTCTCTCTCCCTCAAAATAAATAAATAAACTTATTTTTTTAAAAAAGACACATTCTGGGGCGCCTGGGTGGCGCAGTCGGTTAAGCGTCCGACTTCAGCCAGGTCACGATCTCGCGTGATCTCCCGTGATCTCGCGGGAGTTCGAGCCCCGCGTCGGGCTCTGGGCTGATGGCTCAGAGCCTGGAGCCTGTTTCCGATTCTGTGTCTCCCTCTCTCTCTGCCCCTCGCCCGTTCATGCTCTGTCTCTCTCTGTCCCAAAAATAAATAAACGTTGAAAAAAAAATTTTTTAAAAAGACCCATTCTACAAAGGACCTAGCCTAGGTTCTCCGGTTGCTAAAACCTGAGCCAGGTCTGTTGATGACACAACAGAAGCGGGGCCTGAATTTCCTGTGCCGTATTTCTGAGAAATGTTTCTTTGTTGTTGAAAACTCACACTGCAAGATTAGGGGTAGAGGACATCTTATCTGTAATTTATTTTTAAATGCTTCGTAAAAATATGTAGCTCTGTGTGCGCGTGTGTGTGCGCGCGCGCGTGTGTGTGTGTGTGTGTGTGTGTGTGTGTGTGAAGGAGACACAGCACACGAAGGAGAGGGAGGTACAGCTCAGCCTCCGTCACCATAAAATGCATTTGTCCTTGGAGGGGCACTTCAGGCCCCTTCAGCACCATGTGCGTAGGGGGGAGTCGGGAGGACCTGAGATTCTGCCTCCCGGCCCCGCCCCGCGGGAGGACGAAGCATCCCTGCAGCCCCGGGGTCCCTGCGCTCCGAGAAGGCAGGAGCCCCTCCCCTCCGTGAGCCCCACCCCACCGGCCCTCGCAGGCGCGCTCCTCAGAAATGTGCTGTTCCCTCCCTGCGCTCTGACCCCACCCCTCTGCCCTCCTGCCCATTCCGCCAGCACGCACCCCTCCATCTCCTCCATGGAAGCTGCGTCTGTCCCCTACTGCTGTCAACGTGCCTCTCACACCAGGTCCCAGATGTGCAGCTTCCACCTGGCTGCCGTCCAGGGTCTTAGGGCCGGGACTCCAGCTCGCCCCTTAGGACCTAGGGGGCCAGGCACGTGACGACGACGGCTAGCCGTGGCCTCACAGGCCACCCCGTGGACGTTCGCCGTTCCCTGGAGAACGGAGTCACATCAGTATCAACTTGGTCTGTTCAACTCTCCAGGGTTGTGCTGATGATCCATATTTCTCTGTCTAGCAGAGGATCATTTCACAGCGTCGGTTTAAGACGGCAAGTTCTGGCAACAGCTTGAAGTTCCATCTGGCTAATGGAGAACTCGCTCTCCGGGTACATATTGGCACCTAACCCCAGTCTTCTTGAGGGATGACAGCTGGGCCGTGATGCTGTGCTCAGCCTGCTAAGCACTGTGCAATCTGACTCATCCTCTCCCGACCTAAGAAAGCTCAGTTCCCCATTGAGAGGGACTCAAATGCCCCATTGTGAAGGCAGCTCTGCCTCCACCAACAATGAGAGGTCGCCAGCCGGGGGCTCTTTAAATGGGAAGTCAAAGGTCCGCTGGATCTTTCCCATCCAAGATTAAATCCCTCGTTCCAGGAAAAGAGAAAGAGGAAACTCCTATTATCAGGAAACTATAGGAGGAACCATAAACCAATGACACCAGTGATCTTTTCCAATTAGGCTCCTGTAACTTATAGGGGGAAACACTTAGCTGATGGCTTAAATGGTTTTATTTCCTCTCAGTTATATACAGGACCAACCTGTCGTGCTGACTCAACTAAGTCTGATCGCTTCGCCTGGGTCGGTGCATCACTTTTCTGGCTTGAGAATTTCCAGTCTCCGAATGCTTCAAACCTCCAACACGATTTTCAGTCTGGAGCCCTAGACCTCCTCTCCTTCCCACCCAAATCCTCCCTGGGTCCCCTTTCCAACACTGTTCCAAACCAGCCATTATTACAGTTTCTTCCCTTGCTAATGAAAAACAAAAGTCTCCTCCAGCCTCCCCAGATGTGAGGCCCTAGTTTTCAACCCCACGACCGTTTAGTCAGTGAACTGAGAATCATCACCGTATGGAAAACGGCCCCACATTCAAATCCTTGTGCTGTTCCTTACTGGCTGAAGAATGATAGATTACGTGTGCAAACCTCTCTGCCTCTCAGTTTTATTTCCTGTAAAGACAGGATGTTCATCTCATAAGACAACCGGAATTTTTAGCTTGAACATGCAATTAACCAACTGTACGCAAGTTATCCTGCATACCTGGTACACAGTAGTACAACAAATGTTCACACAGTTTCTTGTGTGAGTTGGATGTGTGAGTTGGATCAGTTGGATGACCCACTGCCCATGGTAGCCTTTGTCATTCTTTTTTCTTTTATTTTTTAAATGTTTATCTATCTATCTATCTATCTATCTATCTATCTATCCATCTCTCTATTTATTTATTTTGAGAGAGAGAGAGAGAGGCAGAGAGCAGGGAAGCGGCAGAGAGAGAGAGAGGGAGAGAGAGAGAGAGAGAGAGAGAGAATCCCAAGACTCTCAGTGTGGAGCCTGACATGGGGCTTGAACTCACAAACCGTGAGATCATGACCTGAGCTGAAACCAAGCGTTGGAGGCTTAACCTACTGAACCACCCGGGCACCCCAACCTTTGTCATTCTTTAAAGAGAGAAAGCATGGATGTGTGCCTAGCAGCTCAGAAATCCCACGACGTGTGTTATATTTTCGCCAGCCGTTTCATGGAAATTCACCTGATAGGTCATCTCAGCAGAACATTTTCTTGTTCCTTCTCATTGCTGTTCCCACCCAGAGTATTTATTTAATAAATACAAATTGACTTCCCATATTCAGGGCTTGAAGCAGTAGTCTGCGGGGCCATGAATTAAATAATTTGTCTTACTAACAGAAAAGGGCATGGTACTCTCAATTTGTGATAAATATGTAAATGAATCCATTTCCAGCAGCTAATCATGTGCTCCCCACACAGCAGGCCTTCGGTAAGTGTTCCTGACTTACTGGCGGGCGGAGATCACAGAGCTCTGGGGTTTCAAGCCATGCGGCAAAGGGAAATAATCCCTGTGTTCTGTTAGTCTCCTGTTTTTTTGTTTTTTTTTTTAATGTTTATTTATTCTTGAAAGAGAGAGAGAGAGGGACAGAGTATGAGTGGGGGAGGGGAGAGAGAGGGAGAGAGACACAGAATTCGAAGCGGGATCCAGGCTCCGAGCTGTTAGCACAGAGCCTGACACGGTGGGGGGCTCGAACCCAGGAGCAGTGAGGTCATGACCTGAGCTGAAATCGGATGCTTAACCAACTGAGCCACCCCAGCCCCCTTGGTTTTTTATTTTTAATTTTAATTTTTTTAAGTTTATTTTTATTTATTTTGATAGAGATATAGAGAACAAGCAAGGGAGGAGCAGAGAGAGACAGAGAGACAGAGACAGAGAGACA